GGGGCCCGCCGCGAGGGGCGGGGTGATGGTGGTGCGGAGCGGGGTGTGCTGGAGCCGGGGTGCAGCCAGGCCTGGGGCACGGCCGGGGTTTCCCTGTAGAGCAAGAGACCCCCGAGCGCCGAGACGTCTTGGGGGTCAGGGCTGCAGCGCTGAGCAGGCCCCGAGCCCTGGCGTGGGCAAATCTGGGTCTGGGGAACCCCACCCTTGGTTTCAGCAGGCGTGCATGGGCTGAACGGGCTCATCCCTGCTTAGCAAGGGCTTGTTGCGTAGCTGGAGTTGGCTGGGGGACGGTGCTGGTGGTGCTGGGCTGCGCAGCTGGGAAGGGCCGAGCGCTGCCCCGAGCACCGGCCCTTCCTCCTTCCCCCCCTTGCCCTGCAGCGCTGGTTGTTTCTTTCATAAATAGGTGTGCGGGCCGCCAGGCTCAGAGGTACTCTGGTGAGATGCTGCCCAGACTGGAGATGGGACAGCTGGTGCACAGGAGTGCTCTGAAGGAGCCTCGTGCATGGAGCAACCTCCCAAGTCGTTATATCTCTCCCTAGACCGAAAACCTAAAGAATTGCTTCTCTGAAGACCTGTTTTATCCACAAGAGAGGTCCTGAGGCGGAAGGGAGCTGCGGATGGAGTTGCTGGACTGTCCAGTAAATGCTGCACAATCTTGGGAACCAGCGCTCCTGTTCTCATTGTTGAAACACCAGTTATTATGCTGTAATGAGCCAATTGGTTCGTTCCCATATTCAGCCAAACTTTTTTCTCCCTGATCAAAGGAGATGTGCCTCCTGCCTGGGCATTTCTCCAAGCTTGCACCTACCCAGGTCAGCATCTGGAAATGATGGATTGACATCTTCTGATGGAAGAGGTCAATAAACACCCCATAGCCAGTGGTTGTGGTTGCAAGTGCTGCAAGGTCTCTGCCAAAAATGAACTTCTCTTTAAACATATCCTCTGGAAGCGCTGCTGGCTGGGCAGCGCTTGCTGGCTCTTGGACAGACAGTCCCGTGGCTGAAGCAGTAAAAGTCAATCCTTGTCCAGTTTCATGGACACCAGGAGCTGGTACCTGCAGATAAAAGGTTGAATGGCCCCTGCAGAACAGGAAAGACATTTTTGGTGCCAAGAGCTTTCTGCCCTCTCTTTAGCTTATCCTGATTCTTACTACCCGATTAGCTAAATCCTCGTAATTCACAATGAGCATGGAAGATGAGGAAAAGACCAACCCTTGTTTCTCCTCCCTTCATCTCAAGCCCTTTGTCTCTAGCATGACCCAGAATGGTCCTGAGCTCTTATGAGGCTTAATGTGAAATTGGAAAAAATAACTGAGTGATAATGGGTGGTGAGAAATACCCAGAGCTTTACTGAAACTACTGGGTTGGTCTTCAGAGTTGTGGGTGAGAGGAAGAGCTGGGCCTTGAAGGGCTGGTGACAGGGGTTGGGCAGGTAGAGGCTGGCTTGTCAGTGCTGGCTTCCCAGGATCTGCATGGAAGGTCAGGATGGTGTATCCCAGTGGAGAAGCACTTAATTGTGGAAAAGGTTGTAGTTTGGGGGATATCTTTGAATAAAGGATAGGGGAACACACAGTAGAAATGGGGAACCAGCTCCTGCTGAGTTTGCAAAAACTGAATTGTGTTGGCAGTTGGGCTGCCGCCAGCATTGGCCCTGCGAAACCTGGAGACGTTGCTTTTGTGGAGTGACGTGGTCCCACCTAAGATAGCATCTTTGGTACAGTGAGGTTGCATCAACTCACCTGTTTGTCACTCAGCTTTTCTACTCCACCTGGGAATTCTTGTGCTGTCCTGCCTGAAATCTGGGAGAAGTCTGACAGTGCTGTCTTTGCTTTTAGCAGGATGATGAGGATGGTGGTGAGAGGATGTGGAGGATGAGGTCAGGCACTGGGGTTGATTTGCGCACAGCATGACTGCTCCTCTCAATCTGAAGAGGAAGCCTCAACTCTCAGTTTTACTGAGCAGTGTGGCTGAAGCCTCCCTCCTGGAGAAGCAGGATTTGGGCACTGTTGATGGAGCTGCTGCTCTTCTGGTCCTGTTTGGAAGAGACAGGCAGTAGCCAGTTCCTTTCAGTTCCTCAAGAACTGAATCAGCCTGGTCAGGAGGAGTCAAACACCTCAGTGACATTTTGTAACTCATCTAAGTGAAAAATATTCTATTTTTATTTCAGCCATATGACCATGTTTGTTTTGACCTACAAGTAGTTTAATTCTAAGGCTACCCTGTTAAGTAGATCTTGCTTAGCAACATCTGTAGAGTACCTAGAGCTGCTGTGTCCACATGGGACGGGGCTGAGAAACGTAGCAGGGAGCTGGGATGCAGCTCTGTCTGTGTACATATTATATAAATAAATGCATAAGCAATGAGGGATCCAGGGAGTACAAGACAGAATAAGCAAGTAAAGGAAAGCAGATTTTGCTGTTCATGCTCTATTGGACACTCAGGAGTAAGGATTATAAAGCAGGTTATGTAAAAACTTGTCCTATCACTGCTTCTTTGCCATGAAATCCCTGAGGCTGGCAGGTCGGAGGCTCTTGGCCAGCAGCACGCGGGCACTGATGTGGAGATGGGAAGGGTTTGCTAGGTGGGTTACACTGCACCGTGGAGATGTCTGCTCAGGGGTAGGGCTTGGAGGAGCTGGGCTTGAGTGAGGGGCTTGCAAAGCCTTGCTGCTTGTGGGTAGCACAGCCTCACCTAATGGCTAAAGAAAGATGGGGCATTGCGGGGAAGCCTCAGGCAGCTTTCCTTCTCAAACTCCTGTGGCAGCAAATATGTGCACGGTCAGATCGAGCTGCTCCAGGGCAGGAGAGCCATTGTGGAGCTGCCAAGCTGCAGTGGGATAATGCCCACGTGCCTTCACCAATTAGTGGATCAAACCCGCTTCCATAAGCTGGTTGGGTTACTTAACCATGGCAACGGCTTGTACTTGCAGGGGGAGCAAAGATTATAGAGGAACACACCCAGAATAAATGCTTAAGAAGGAACAGGCTCTTGTCCATCAGGCAGCCCCTAGGAGGCAGGGAGGCAGTGGAGACAGATGTGTCCAGATGTCAGCCCCTGGGCTGGCCAGCTGCTGAGGGCTTAAGTCATGTTTGGGCCCTTGCAGGCATTTCCCAGCAAACAGGACAGTGATACGGAAACTACGACTGTGCCTTGCCTTTGACCTGCCTTATGACAACTATGAGTTACTGCAGGATGGCAGTTGAGAGGTCACAAAGGTGTCCTGCACAGCACTGTGGGACACAGCTGGGTCACCATCCCAGTTCTCTGTGTGCTTTTTGGGAATCTAGTGGGCTCTCCCTGCTGGCACCCTTGCAGTTATGTGGGTGGATGTGCCACCTCTCCCAGCCCTTGCCTGCTTCTGGCTGTGTGGAGCTGCCAAACCTGGCAGGCAAGCAGAGGCCTGTGGGACAGGGTTGTTTCTGCCAGGCAAGTCAAACATGCAGAGCTGTGAATAATTCAGTGCTGGCTTGTCTAGCGCAGAGCGAGCCTCCAGCACATCAAAACAGTGCCGAAATCCTGTGGGTAGGATCTGGAAAGTTGAGCCTGAATAAATAAGCCTACAGACATCCTGTGGCACGAACTTGATGCTCCTGCATACGTAAGTGTTCCTGGTTTAGATCTGCCTTGGTTTCAGTCTGCATAACACGCCTGGATCCTCCAGAGAGCCTCTACTGGAACTGCTGCCTTTGGCTCAGCCTGATGTGGGGTTGAGGGTGGATGTGCTCAGCTGCAGGCACTGAGCCCAAGAGTTGTGTCTCCTTATCTTCTTTTGTTTTGCTTGCAGAATGTCAGGATTGACCCCAACAGCATCTCCTTCAGCATGTGGAAAGACATTCCTGTTCCTTTCTACATGGCAGTGCACTTCTTCGAAGTGCTGAACCCCAAGGACGTCCTCCAGGGAGCGAAGCCGGTGCTGAACCAGCGTGGACCTTATGTTTACAGGTCAGCTACCACTTGTAGTCCATCTAGGTGTGAGCCCGGCCACCATGCAGTCTGCCAGGCTCCTGGCTGACTCCTCTGGCAGGAGGACATGGCATTAGCACACTTGGTGCAAGTCCAGTGGCATAGGATTTTAAAGCAACTCAAATGTGCTCTAATTGCTCTGATCTTACTAAAGCCACAAGTAGGACCTCTGGTCACCGGGGTGGTAAGGCTGGTCTGTGCTTCACTGAGTTGTGGAGCTCAGACCCATGCTGGGACCTGTTGGGCAGCCAGACCTGGGTTGATACGGTCCAAATATCGTCATGAGGGGTGCTGGTGTGGTGGTGAGCAGCCCTCATCTTCAGAGTGGCCTTGTTTCATCACCACTGTGCATTTAAGAGCTGGAGACCTCTTATCTAACATGAGACCCAGAATCTGCCTAACAGGAATGCTCTGGTCTTGAGAACCAGTATAGAGCACTAAAACTTGGGCAGGTCCACCCAGGCAGGGCTGGGTCCATTTGTCATGGCTGAGGATGGTGGTTGAAGTGCCAATGCTTCTCTGAAGTGATGGTTGATGTTGAGTTGAGCATGTGAACTTACCCATAAATAGAGATATTAAACACATTAGTGTCTACACATGTAGGCAAAGTCACGTCAGAAGCCTAAGCAAGCTCATGTGGGGAGATTACTGGTTTAATCCAAAGCTGTTTGAGTAGTGCTCTGGGGAAACCTGGCAGAATGTATATGCCCTTGTTTCCCCTGTGCTAGGCAGGTCACACCATGAGACCATGTGGATCCTGTATGTTGTGATCACATCAGTCACTTGGCTTGGGGAAAAGGCTTCACTTACTGTAAAAAAGAATAAACAAAGGGGCAAAACTTAATACTGTCCTTGTGTTCCTGCTGAGCAAGATTAGTGCCCTTCCCTAATGTGGGACATAAAACAGAGGCTCCACAATAAAGGACTTTGTTTTTGCTGGTGGGTTGAGCTGCAGCTCCCCTGGGAGCTGTAACAGGCTCGTGATGTTGGGGGTAACCTTGTGCTGCTGTGGAGCGTTGCAGCCCCTTCTCGTCAGCTGGGAAGAAACACTCAGTGTTTGCAAACTGCTGCACAGTCCCATCTGTCAGGGGACTCTCAGGCTGCCCTCTCCTCCTGCCGGACCCTAACCCTGGTTGGCGTGTGAGGTTGACACTGCCTGTTTCCCAGCACGGTGCCTCCTCTGCTGTCCCATGGCTTCTTGCTGGGGCTTGGTCTCCTTCCTCTGCTCTTCAGAAGCAAGGCCAGGCCTGTGCAGCCCATCCCTGGGGGAAGGGTCCCATGATCTCTCCCATCTCTTTGCAGAGAGTTCAGATATAAGACAAATATCACATTCCATGACAATGACACTGTCTCCTTCCTGGAGTACCGGAAACTCTTCTTCCAGCCGGACTTGTCCAACGGCACTGAAGATGAGTACGTCGTTGTGCCAAACATTTTAATGATGGTAAGAACTTGCTTCATGGATGGGTACCAGCTTCTGAGCTTGTGGTGAGGGTGATGGAGCCCAATGCTGATTTAAAGCTTATGTTCTTATGGAGCTTAAGGCTTGTCAAGCCGTGAGGTGGGTTAAGCTTACAAAATAGCTTTCTGCTTTCTGGGTGTTGTCATGCGGGGCTGTTACACTTGCAGAAGCAGAGCGTGCAGAGGGGCTGGCAAAGCAACTGGGCTTGAGTCTGTGATCTTGTTTGAGCATCCTCTGGGAAATGAAGCCTGTGAGCCCTCAACTGCTTTCTTCCCAAACTGGGGATAAGCAGTGCACCTCAGTTTGTCCAAAGGATTTCTCCAGAGCTGTAGAGCTGAGCACTGAAGATGCATTGCTGCTTCTTTAGTAAAGATTGGGTTCTCGTCTCAGAGGCTTCTTTTCTTTCCCAGGGAGCAGCTGTAATGATGGAAAACCTGCCAAGCTTTGTGAAGTTTTTACTGAGTGGAGCCCTGGCTGGCCTGAAACAGGAGGCGTTCATGAACCGGACGGTGGGGGAGATCATGTGGGGGTATGAAGACCCTCTTATAGACACAATAAATATGATTGTTCCTGGTCTAATCCCTTTCAAGGGGAAATTTGGCTTATTTAAAGAGGTAAGTAAACTGTTGCTTGGGAACACTAAAATCACAGCTATATTGGCCTTGGGATTGAGTGCCTGGGCTATCCCCCTCACAAGCTGTTCGGAGCAGCCGTGTGTAGCTGGTGGTGGTTGTGTAAGGCTCCCTTAATTCTCCCCTCAGGCAGAAATGCATGTGTTGGAAGCTGTTGCTGGCAACTGAAATAAGTAAAAGTTTAGTAGCTTCCAGTGTGAAGCACCTCTAGAGCTGATGAAGCATGCAAAGTTATTAACATATTGCAGTCTTGTGGTGTATAATGGATTAAAAGTTAGTTTCTTCTCTCTACAGCTTAATAACTCCAATTCGGGACTGTTCACAGTGAACACAGGCATGAAGAACATCAGTAGAGTTCACATGGTGGATACATGGAATGGACTAAAGAAGGTAAGGGTCGGGCAGCAAACCTCCAGTGCAGGGGCAATGCCTGGTCTGAAACAAGATAAACTGAAAGCTCTCAGTGCTGTTGTATCTCAGGGTTGTAGGTTTGGGGGCAAGTTTCTACACGACTATGACTGTTGCAGCTATTGTTCTAGCCAGTTGCCAGAAGGCAGCCAGATGACAAGAGGCTTGTTGTGAAGCATTAAGTTCAGCTCATCATTGGTGTCACTTGGACTCCCTTGAAATGCTGTTGGAGCTGGTTGCTTCCAGTGGTTGAAATCCCAGGCTCCTGTGTTTAAGGTGTTACTTTAAATACCCTCCTTAAAGGGATGCTTATTTTTCCCTTGTGGAATTCCCCTCCTAACTAAAATCAAAACCTATAGATTGACCACTGTGGAAGCACTTGGGATAGGTGGATCTTGTCCTGTTTTTCCATTAATTGAGCAGACGTTTGTGAACGGGAAAGATCTTGGAAGCTCTTCAGTGTTGCTGTCTCAAGCTGCTGTGGAGGCAGTGTGGAGTGGTGGATGTCCCATCTGGCGGTGGAGGCCAGCTCTTCAGCTAGCTCATCGTTCTGAGCTCTTCTCTCTACATCTGGCTCGTAGGTGAACTACTGGCGGAGCAGCCAGTGCAACATGATCAATGGGACTGCGGGGGAGATGTGGCCACCGTTCATGTCCCCGACGTCGCTGGAGTTCTACAGCCCTGACGCATGCAGGTGAGGCCACAGCTACTGGCTTGTCCCCGTGCAGGTGGCAGGAGATGCAGCACTCATCCTGTGCACACAGAGTACCTGTGCAGTGATGCAGAAGGCTCAGGACTTGTTTTTGTACTTAAAATTCAGCTGCAGCTCTGATGCAGTACCTGAGCTTTGCAGAGAGTGTAGCTATCTAATTAGCAGCATCTTGTGGTACTCATAAATACCTTCCAGATCATTGGAGAAGTCTGACTTGCCCGTGTTGAATCAGTAGAAAATAACCAGTCTAGATAAGATGTGGGAGGCGAGAGGGAGAAGTAAGAGTTGTCATAAAGAAATGCAGCTCTAACTATTTGCGGAACTATTTCAGCTGACTAAATGCTTTCAGAAGTGATGGCGGGGGGGCTTGTGCCACCGTTTCCAGGCTGCTTTTTTTTTTTTTTTTTTTTTTCTTCTGCCTAGTTCACGCACTGCTGTGCATGTCTGTCCTGTGTCAGACACCCTGACCTTAGCTGATCACACAGGGGTTAAAGTACCCTGCAGAGCCTGCCCCTGTGGAAACTCCCTAAGGCTGGAAGGAGGGGAAGCCAGGAGGCAGGCATAGCACAAAACCCTATCTCCAGCCTGGGGAAGATAATGTTGATTCAGGCTTTGTAGATAGTGCTGCAAAACAAGCAAGTGCTGAATAGGGAACAATGACCTCTTCAGTGAACAAGTGAAGTCAGCTGAACCAAGTATTAGTGCAGGAATTCCTCTACACAAGGGACATCAGGAAATACCAAAATGACTGGGAGCCAAGAATTTAGGGAAGTTTACCAGTAATCAAAGTTTAAATACACATAACCTGTTTCGATAAATCTTCTAGGGAACAGAGCGTGTTTCCAGGCAAGGCATAAAGAGAAGTGGAGGAAACCAAGCTTGGTTTCTGGTTAGTGCAGGAGGTTCCCACCAAACAGTGCTGTGGGGGAAGTGGCTCTGTCTCTTCCCCAGGCAGTGCTGTCTCTCCTCCCCAAATCCCTGTCTCAGCCTCTCTGCTAGCAGTGCTGGCTAGGAGGGATTCACAAACATCAGCTGATAGACTAGGAGCATATCTGCCTTGCAGCTGGGCATGCAGGGCTTATCTCCTATGCTGTTTGCACATTAAGTGCAGCTGATGCTGAGATGCAACTACCTGGATGTTCTGGTGCAAGGTAGGCAAGGCTTTATCCTGCTGATGTGCTGCAGCAGCCTCTGCCTCCTTGTTGGAAGGTGAGTACAGCCGAGAGGCATGCATGTAACTGTTGAACATGCCCTGAATCCCCAGTCCTTGGGCCTGATGTCAGCTGTAGGAATGAGCATCTCCTTGGTCTGCCCCAGCTGTCTGCATCCCTGGAAGCCATGCTCAAGTGTGAAAGAGGCAAAATTCCCTCCTGGAAATTTGTATCTATCCTGGCCAGCCAGTAGCAGTAATGCAGCATAACATCACTAGCCTGTTGTATCAAAAAAAAAATAAAAAATCTCGCTGCATAATGTAGTAAAATTCTTCACTAACCTGCCAGCCTATATGCTGGAGCTGTGCCGCAGGAGAGTTTTAGCCAGGGTGCATCCCCTGTGATAGAGCACCTCAGAGCCAAGGCTTGCACAAAGAGGGTATTATCTCTTGGAGAGCAGCCCTGGGGATTACTACATGCCTTTAAACAAATCTCATCTGGATACTGCAAACAGACTTAAAAGCCTGTGGTTTCTCTCCATAACTAGTCCTGACCAACCCTTTATCTCTGCTTAAAGCATGGAAAGCAAATGCCTTAAATATTCATTCCCCATTTAAAGCACTGCTCAGTGTTTATCTTGATCTCAAAGTCTAAGTTACGTTGCAACCACATCTTATCCAGCGAAGATAAGAGTCTGGTTCTGGGCTGGGAACTTCTTGGCCAATCCTGATCCTTCTTCACTGGATCTTTCCAGGTCCATGACACTAGTGTACGAGCAGTCTGGGAAGTTTGAGGGTGTGCCCACCTACCGCTTTGTGGCACCGAAAACTCTCTTTGCCAATGGCACAGACTATCCACCCAATGAAGGCTTCTGCCCCTGCATGCAGTCTGGCATCCAGAACGTCAGCACCTGTAGGCTAAGTAAGTCCTTAGTAAGTAAGTCCCCAGGCTCTGCCTTTTGTATCAGTATTAATCAGTGGGGATGTGATGCCAGCTTGGCTGTCTGTGAAATTGGCTCTGCTATCTGCTGGAGTGCTAAAAGGTATCTGTGTGCACGGTGTTCTCGCACTCCCACAGACGTCTCAGCAAGGAGGGAAAGAGAAAATCCTTGTGCTCGAAGTCCACAGCCCTGCAGCAGCCTGGTGTTTGTGGGAATGCCCAGGGATACGGTGGGAGTGGTACATCCCCTGGGCTGGGGAGGGAGCAGGCAGGCCCTGTAACTGCCAAATGAAATGTTAATGTTGGGTGTTGAGTGCAGGTGATGCTGGAGTGAGAATTCAGACTTAGTGCCCTAACCCATGTCTGGGTACAGCGAGTCACTAGGGCATTGCATGATGTGTGGTGGGAGAGGGTGGCTTAAACTCTGGGTCTTAACCCTCCCAATGGAAGAAGCTGCAGGGAGGGACAGAGATTTCTGGTTGGGAAGAGAAAAGTATAAAGGTCTGTTCAGAACACATGCTGCAACAGTTTAAAAACCTCAACAAAAAGTCTCAGGTGGGTTTGAGCTTAAGGTGTCTTTGTTCTCATCCAGATGCACCAATATTCATCTCCCATCCTCACTTCTACAACGCTGACCCAGCCTTGGTGGACGCCGTCGAAGGCCTCCACCCCAGCAAGGACCAGCATGGGCTTTTCCTCGACGTGCACCCGGTGAGTGAGCCTGGGGGGGCCTCGCCTGGCCCTGGGGTCCGGCCTGGGCTGAGCGGGACCAGCTGCCTGGCCGCCTCGCTCTGCTCTCGTGGCATTTGTTTGGGCAGGTTCCATAGTGCAAAGACTGACGAGGACATGTGCAGATAAAAATATCAAAACCATAAACTAATTGAATAATGAGCCTGGCTTCAAGAGAATTGCAGAACTAATTATAAGCATAATTGTTTTGATAAGCACAGTCAAGTTTTTTTCCACTGACTCAGGTCTATAACACCAGGAGGTGTATCTAGCAGCAGCCCAGTTACGCCCCAAATCTGCAAACACATATTGCCATGAGAGCTGACTGGCAAAGTCTGAAGACCCCGCTGTAGCAGAAGCTGTCACCACCATTTTGGGGCTGACTTCTTCTAATCTCTCAACCTGCTCGTCTAACTGGCTGCTTTTGCTCTGGCCTGCTGCTGTGTTACACTTCTCACATATCTATGGCATAAGGGTGAAGTCACCATTCCAGTGGCAATGAGTTGGGGTGTCCTTGAGCTATCATTGTCCCAGCTGCTGATGGGGAGGGGACTGTGGGATCTTCCACCCATGGCCTGTGTTGCATGTGGTCAGATCTTCCAAACACTCAGTGATGTTTGCTCAAGCAAGAAACCAATCCCTCTCTAGGGGTAAGGTAAGCTGTGCTTCTTATCAAGGCATTGAGTTCTTACTGCTTTTCTTATCACAATTATGGAAATCTAATTAAGTTTATTACAGTATCAAACATCTACTGATAACAGTACAATTAACTGTATTCTTATCTAGCTGCAGCCTGCTGTGTACAGACAGGGTCATTCCAACAAAAACTTTCTGCCCTTAATGTATTGGAAAACTGCAGTGTCATCAGAAACCAACTTTATGGGTGTCAGCAAGACCAGCACTGAAGTGTGGTGTTTTCATGGCCTTAACCTGTTGCTGGACAGTGATGGCTGTTGCTCCTAGTTAGGACAAATGTTTTGTCCTTTGCTGTGTGCATGAGTCTTTGCGTTGATGTGCTTCCATCCTGCTCCTGGTAGGATGAATGATGGAAATCTGGAAATCTTTCCAGGCTTCAAAAACCACAGAAGTTGTTATTAGAACACCCTGCCTAGGGAGTCCCTTCCAGGGTGCATATGTTCCTTTGGTAATTTGAACTTGCTTATGTTCAGTCCCACAAGCCCTGGGTGACACAGCACCTCCCTGGTTCAAGCTGTCTGCCCACTGCATGTGTGCTGCCTTCTGCAGCAGCCACCTCTGTTCAGGGTGGCTTTGTGCCTTAGACCACCCCAAGGGCAGAGATCCCTTCTGCACGCTGCTGTGTGCCACAGTCTCAGTGACTGGTGAGTGTTCAAGTGAAGGGGACAGACTGCACCTTGCCCTGGGGATGGTGGACTCCTCAGATGGTGACTGCTCATCCCCAGAGCCTGGCTGACTGATGTGTCTGCTTTGGTGGAAACCCCAGCCACGCTCCTGGTCTTGCGTGTGGTGACTGTGGTGAACTCTGGATGATCCTGTCCGTTGCTCTGGAAGGGGGCACCCCGAGCAGCTGTGATGGAAAGCAAAGGCTGGCTCTTCTGCAAAGCTCTCCAGACAAATGTTGGCTTTACTGATGAACTGGTTGATCTCTTCCTGTGCAGATGACGGGCATCCCCATGAATTGCTCCATCAAGCTCCAGCTGAACCTGTACATAAAGCAGGTGTCTGGTATAATGTAAGTAGTCACCTTTTACCAATGTCCATCTCCCTCCCTTGAGCAGGGAGTGCTGCTGATGCTGGGCCCACTACAGTTTACTCTCCCCAGAGATGAAGTAGCTTTAACAGTCCCAGTTGGCATGGTTGCAGAAGCCAGCTGGCTCATGTGGTGAAATATCAGCTATTCCAGTGACCTCAAACTGCCAGCCTTTAGCGGTGCAGCCTGTGGCTGCCTGTTTGCTGGGCTCCTGCAGCATTCCTGCACCTGCCTGGGGAGCTGATGATCGGACTGCTGCTCCTGGTGAGGTGCAGGAGCGTGCTGCTGCTCAGAAGGTGTGACATCCAACACGGACAGGCAAAACACCCTCTGCCTACAGGGTTTGCAGTTGAAGCCTCTGTCCTAAAAGACACTTTTAGCTCTGTGAAAACAAACAGAGGGTCTCTGCCCCAAAGTTGTATCATGCTAGATGTTAAATACCTACAAGGGTGGGAGCATGCTCTTGCTGCTTTGACCGGCTCTAGTTCACACACCAGCAAACAGCCCTGATGCTGTGAACTTGGCTGCACCACCCTCTGGTACCATGCAGGTGACTGAGATGTCTTGCTGCATGAAGTTTAGCATTCCAGTTCACTGAGTTCATGTCCCCGGAGCCCAGATTTGGGATGGCACGCACTGCTGTTGTCAGGCAGTTAAGCACAAATGGAAGTGTAAGCTCTGCTCTTGCATGAAAGGCCCAGGTTGGACCCGGTCCCTCAAGGGGAGAGCAGCTCACTGAAGCAGCAGAAATTGCTGCCTCCTTACACTGTTTTCCTGGCCACTATCAGTCTGTCAAACCCATCCCTTTAGGAAGAATTATGGCACTAACTGTGGTCTGATCAACCAGAAATCTAAGTGTGGGTTGTTTGGTTTTTTTTTTTTTCTTCCCTCCCCAGTCAAACAGGGAAGATAAAGCCAGTGGTCCTGCCGCTGCTGTGGTTTGCAGAGGTGAGCTGCCTTCCTCAACCTGATTCTGCAGAGCCTTTCCTGTGGGACGGGGGAACTGCCTCCCCATCACCCAGTGCTTGGGAAACTCCACTTGGGATAAATCTTTAAGCCAGACAGACTAATTAAGCACCAACAGAAGGCTTTGCAATACTTGGCTTGCCATTAATCCCTCTGAGCCGAACAAACCCTGCACTATACTTGGTAAACCTCTGGCTCTGTCCTAGCTGTGGGGTTAAATAGGGCCCAGAATGGAGCTGCCAGCATCCCCATGCTCATGTGGGCCAGGGAGTGCAGTCTCCAGCTGTGCGCATGGCCATCTGACTCCAACCATTTAGTGGAAGCTTCTAGCCTGACTGAATCTTGCTTACATTCCCTAATTGGTGGTGGGAGAGGGATTGTGCAGCTGGTCTGTCTCAGCTCTGGCTGGGAGAGAAATGCCACTGACGACTTTGCTTTTTTTGAGCAGAGCGGATCCATCGAAGGCTCAGTCCTAAAGCAGTTTTACACCAACCTGGTGCTGATCCCATCCCTGCTGGACTACCTGCAGTATATCTTCCTTGGGCTGAGTGTTCCACTCATTATCTCAGCAGCTGTGCTCATGGCAATGAGTCAGGTAAGACCTTGGAGATGTCTAATGGGAAATGCTGTTAGTCAAATCAGACTTAATCAGATGTCGATTGGGCTGACAGTCTTAACACTTCTGAGGAAACATTGGCTGATGCCATGAGCAATGTCCTAATGGTGCCAGGTGTGAGCACATGGCAGCAGGACTTCCTTGGCCATCTAGAAATTGGACTGAAAGCAGATAACATGAGAGCATTTCTTGCCTTCTCTGTGCACAACAGTGATGGAAGTGGGTTTCTGTAGGAGGAGGTGTTTCTAGGCTCATCCAGTTTATGAAAGAACAAGCCTAGCTCATCAACCCAGCTGTCATAGAAAGCAGCAGGTCTGTGCTGTTCCACAAATCTGTGCATCTCTGCAGGGTCCCAACAGATTTCTAATCTGAACAGAGCCTTCTCAAGGAGATAGAGCTATCTGAACACAGCTTGTTCACAAATGAAATGCAGTCACTGTGTTCTTGCAGAAGGGGCACAGACACTGTGGCTGCTTCTCAACGCAGACTGGACTCTGCTTTTCCCTGAAACTCACTTGGTTTCTCTGTGAACTACTCCAAAGAGCTCTGGAAGTTAAACCCTCAGGGCCCTTATGGATTTGGTCTTACTGAGAAGTGAAGACCTTTGAAGCCAGCAGGGAGCTGGCAGCTGGGCAGAAGTTGGCCCAGGATGGGGCAGGCAGTGAGGGTGCCTGGCTAGCACACGGGTTTGAGCTGTAAGGACAGAACATAAACCAGCTAAACCACTTGATGGAGATCTATGCCTCCAGCCCCAAAACATTCATCTGATAACACTAAGCTCTCTAAAGGCTTTAGCTCTTGAAGTAGAGATCTAGCTTCCTACCCTAACCTATATCAAAGCAAGCTTATTTAGTTTTGCACTACAGTCAAACGGATTGAGCTGGCTCTAAAGCTACAGAAGTGAAGAAGCTACTTGTGGGGATAAAAAGGCAACGCTTAGGATGAGAGTGAGCTAAGGGGAGAGCACATGTGAGGGGCTGCTTTTGCTCAACCTCATGTAACTGCCCTTACTGAAACAGTAATGCAAACCCACTTTAAATAGTGCCAAAGTTCTGAGTATCACATAATTGGATTTTAACCAAGCCTAGAACTGCTTAATTGACTTAAACACATGATCCCAAATCCCCTTGTTCCTCCACGCACTTCCCTGCAGGGTGGGAGCAAATGCTAGGGCTGAGGCCTCAGCATTAAACCCTTACCGTGCTCCCGAGATGGCTGCTGAACCTCTCTGCTTCAGCAAACGCAAACGGTTGCTGGCAAACAGACTTTCCTCTGCTGCACAGCACCAGCGTATCTGAAAAAATGTCTGTATTTGCTGGGCAGCTATTTCTAAGACCTTATGTGGCCCCAGGTTGGCATTTCCTCACCCTGCTTTGTGTAAGTCTTAATTCCTGCTATCAGAGAGCCTTACCCATGCCAGAAAGGGTCAGGAAGAAAAGCTGGATTTAAAATTCACTCAAGTCAACTGAATATCTGCTGGTGAAATTTCCCAAACCCAGGCGTAAGCCAGCTGGTTTTGGGTGCTCGGTGAAAAGTGTCACGAAGTGCTAGAACCAAAAATCAACCGCAGGAAGTGCCTGACTACCTGCAAAGTGATTAAAAAGCCTCAATGACCTTATAAATCTCTAAGAAAGCTGTGCAACAACACATGAAAGTCTCTGCCTAATGAATAGATAAGAGCTGGAAGACAGCAATTTGCAGCCAAGGTGTGTTCCTTATTTGATTGAAGTGTTGCTGATCTGGCAATGATTGCTTAATCATGCACAGTCCTCCCTCTGGAAATCACGGCCGTGTCAGAGGGGGCATTGACCCCACCTTCACGTGTCTGCCAGCGTGGAGGTCTCCCTGAACCCAACTCCTTCCTGGAGGATCTTGTGTGCCTCTGGCTTCTGGAAGGAGCAGTGTGCTCTAAACCCAGTCTAGATAAGTGTGAAACACTTAAATCTTTGTCTAGCTTATAGTGGAGCCAGTTTGAAAAGCATCTGTTGGACCAGCAGTTCTACACAATGTGTAAATCCTGTACAGGCATAAAACATGCCCAGATGCAGCATTGTAGCTTTCCCCTCCTAACGTGGCCTGAAGCCTGTGTGGTGTTGCGTTTAAAAGGCAAACAGACCATTTTCAAACTGGCTTGACACTGACCAAAATCTAAAATAGGACTTAGTTTAACCTAAATTTTGAAATCTTCATTAATGAGTAGATTCTAGTTAAACAGTGATTTAAAATCTCCTCCTAAAATTGGAACCCTCGTGGAATTCGTGACCAAGTACAGCATAAACTAGCCTGATTGTCTTCTAGGAAAAATGCTCTTTATTTTGGAGTAGCAATAAAAAGAACTCAGACAGTAATAAGGCCAACCAGGCCACCTCTGCAGAAAAGCTGCCTCCGGTTAAGGGGACGGTGTTGCGGGAAGCCAGACTGTAGGTGGGTACCCAGTCAAGGTAACACACTTTTCTCTCATCCTGATTTGATTAAACTTTGCTTAAAACCAATCAAACAGAAATGTTTACTGTCCATGTCTACCAGACATGCCCTCTTGGCAAGCTTTGATGTAATAATGTCTCATGGCTTTATTCAGGGCAATTTAGATGTCTTAATACTCACACTTAACCAGGCTGCGAGCACATGCTCTTATTGTTTCTCCTGGTGTACCTGATCTGCAGCCCTAATAATATCAGCAGGGATCAGGGTGAAAAGTAGGATTGGTGTGAGGAAACACTTTTCTTGCCTGTTTTGCGCCCTTCAAGTGTTTGAGATTCAGAGGTAAGTTGTTGGGGTTTTTTTAACAGGTAAAAACTCATGAGGGTAACAGAGGTATTCAACCGGTGGGCATCACTCCCCTCCTGCATGCTTGAAAAAGCTTTCAAGAGGGAATTTCTGATGTATAAAATATCTGGATTTGTATTACAGGATCACAAAATCACTGAATCGTTGAGGTTGGAAGGGATCTGTGGAGGTCATCTAGTCCATCCCCCCTGCTCAAGCAGGGTCACCTAGAGCCTGTTGCCCAGGACCATCTGCAGATGTCTCTAATCTCCAAGGATGGAGATTCCCCAACCTCTCTGGGCAACTTGTTCCAGTTTTGACAGTTTTCACATATTCTTAACCAAAAAAATGTGTTGCCTAATGTTCAGATGGAACCTCCTGTGTTTAAGTTTGTGCCTCTTGGCTCTTGTCCTGTCCCCTGGACACCACTGAGAAGAGCCTGGTTCTGTGTTTACACCCTCCCTTCAGATACTTGTATACATTGTTAAGATCCCCCTGAGCCTTCTCCAGGCTAAACAGTCCCAACTTTCTTGGCTGTTGCTTGTATAAGAGATGTTCCAGTCTCTTCATCGTTTTAGTGGCCCTTTGCTCCATTCTTTCCATAACTCCATCTCTCATGTCCTGGGGACACCTAGAACTGTACAGAGTATTCCATGTGTGGCCTCACCAGCAATGAGCAGAGGGGAAGGATCACCTCTCTTGACCTGCTGGCAACAGGTCCCAGCGCAGCCCAGGATGCAGTTAGCTGCCTTTGCTACACGAGCACACCGCTCATGTTCAACTTGGTGTCCACCAGGAGCCTTGGGTCCTTTCGTGCCCAGCACGTGCTGCTGCATGAGGTTGTTCTTCCCCAGGTGCAAGACTGCACACCTTCTTGTTGAACCTCATGAAGTTCCTGCCAGCCCCTTTCTCCAGCCTGTTGAGGTTCCTCTGGAGGGCAGCATGACCCTCTTGTATCAGCCACTCCTCCCAGTTTTGTGTCATCAGCAAACCTGCAGATCATTAATAAAGATGTTGTACAGGGTTGGACCCAGTATTGACCCCTGGTGTACACTGCTAGTTACTGGCCTCTAACTAGACTTCATGCTGCTTCTCATGACCTGCTGGGGCCTGGCTATTCAGCCTGTTTCAGTCTACCTCACTGTCTGCTTATCCAGCCTATACTTCATAGCTTCTCTACAAGATTCTTACAGGAGACAGTGTTGAAAGCCTTACTGAAGCCAGGTAGACAGTACCTACTGTTCTCCCCTCATCCCTGAAGCCATTCATTTCATCAGAGAAGTTTATTAGGTTGGTCAAGCATGATGAAGCCATGCTGGCTACTCCTGATGACTTTTCCTGTCTTTCATGTGCTTGGAAATGGTTCTTAGGATGAGCTGCTCTATGACCTTCCTAGAAATTGAAGGGAGTCTGACAGGTCTGTAGTTCTCCAGGTCTTCCTTCTTGAACTTCTTCAAGATAGGAGTGACGCTTGCTTTCCTCCAGTCTTTGGGCACCTCTCTGAATTTCCAGAATTGTTCTAAGATTATGGGGAGTGGCCTAGCTGCGATATTAGCAGCTCCCTCAGCACTCATGGGTGCATCCTATCGGGGTCTATGGATTTATGTGTGTCTAGGTTGCTGAAGTATTCTATGACCTCTCCTCTTCCACTAAGGGTATGTCTTCCTTGCTCCAGACTTTCTCCTGGTCTCTGGGGTCCTCTGCCTCATTCAGCAACGGGCTCTCGTGTTCCCCAGTCTTCCTTTAGTCACCTGTGCACTTATGGAAGCCCTTCTTCTTATCTCTGACATCCCTGGTCAGATTTAATTCCTGTTGGGCTTTGGCTTTCCTAACTTAACCCTGCATGCTGGGAGAGTGCCCATCTATTCCTGACAGCTTACCTGTCCCTGCCTCCACCTTCCGTATGCTGCTTTCTTCCATTTGAGTTTGGCCAGGAACTCCTTGTTCATTCATGTAGGCCTGCTGGCATTCTTGCCTGACTTGGGATGCTTGTTGGGATGGACCATTCTTGAGCTTGGTGGAGGTAATCCTTGAATTTCAACCAGCTTTTTTGCCCTGACTATCTCCCCCCACCTGAGCTCTGTAGTCACTTTTGATACTTTCTAGGTAGCCCTGGTGATATCATTGGTGCCCACACAGAAGAAGTAATGGGTAATAGTCAAAGGGTTGGATAAGGCTTACAGTCCCTCCACAACACCCTGAATCCAGCTCCCCAGCAAGCAGCAGATATCTCTAGATGACCAGTCAGGTGGGCAGATGGGTGCTTCTGTCCCCAGCAGCAGGGAGTGACCCTCTACTGTCACTTGCTGCTTCCTCCTGGGGGGTCTTGCATGATTTAGTCAGGGGACCCACGTGATCTGCTTGAAAGCATATCTGGCTCCTCTTCAACTTTGAGGTTGGTGAACGTGTTTTGTAGTTGTAAGCCTTTAGGTGGAGCAGGAGCCTTCCTCTCAGTGCCAGAAGGCACCAGCTTCCATCCTTCACCTTCCCCAGAGGCTGCACTTACATTTTGTTAGGGATGGGTGCTGTCTGTATCTCTACTGCAGCTGGGATCTAGGGGTCTTCAAGCTGTTGTGTCTCTGAGGAGACCCTGCCCATCTCCCTTTCATCTTCCCTGATGCTGTGCAGCATGCTGACTCTGTCCCGTAGCTCCTCCATTTGGTGACACAGCTCTTCAGGCTGGGCGTACACAGGGGTGTTACCAGTGTATTGGTGGGCAGGGATGGAAATAACTTCATTTCGTTAGGGGAGGAGATGCAAAAATCTTCAATTTAAGAAGCTTTCAGAAAAGGTTTCTTGGCCAGATGAAAGTCCAAGAGGCTTGGGGATTGCGCATCCCAAGCGGGGCTGTGGTGACCCCTGTGTAGGGTGTGAGCACAGTGGCACCGCCGAGTGCGCGGCTGTAACCGCTCTCCTCCCCTCTCCTCTTCAGAGAGCCGGTGCCAAGAAGAGCCCGTGCCACCCCACCACGCAGAGCAAACCGCCCCCCTCCTCCGAGACAACGCCGCTCCTACACGACGCCGACACGCTGAGCCAGGACGACGCCGAAGCCTGAGCCGCCAGCCCCCGCACGCTGCCCACCGGGACACGTCCGTGCTGGGGGCGAGACCTGCTTTGGATCCCCGGAGGTCTCTGGAAGGTGAAGTCGTCCTGAGCAACTCAGCGGAGACCCCGTGCACCCTGGCAAAGGCACGGGACAGTACTGCTGCACCAGCTCTCCCGCGCTGGGGCACGGGAGACCTCATCCAGACACCCAAACCACAGCGTTGTTCCCAGGGGGGCGGCCTTTGCCACAGCCCCTCTCTCCCTGTGAGCCAGCAGCAATGAAGATGATCACTGGTTGAGCCGTGAAGTTATTTTGCAATTTAAGACTGCCTATTGCTAGGAATAAAAGGCACTTTAACAGGAGCCTTTAAAATAAATGAGGTTTGTATACGTAGCACTGATGGGATTTAGTGATCTTTTTAAAAGCCGCTGTTCATCTCACGCGAATGGGGCTTGCTATCCTGAAGCCACTTATGGTTTTATTGCCACTTGATGTGACTGGACTACACCACAAATCAATTCTGGGTGCTGTCACATCAGTGATGTCTCTTCCCAGAGTACCTGGGGCCTGCCCAGGGTTGCTCCAGCCTTTGCACATGTTGGAGAGTACAGTGGTGACACTTAAAGCCCCGATTCTGTGCCGTGACCTTGCGCTCCAGTGATTCTAGCCCACAACCCTTTTACTTAGCCTCTCCTTGCTTTACGTGACCGCGCGAGATGAGCCTTGCCAGAAAACTCAGTGGTACATCTGACCTGGCGCTCAGCTCCTGCTGCCTGCTCAGCTGCCCAGGCTCAGCTCTTCTGCCCGTGCACTGTCCGAGCTGCGAGGCCATCGTGTCGCTCTGCTCGTGCTGCCTGCAGGTGGAAAGGGAGTAGGCAGAAACTTGACCCAGTCCTTGAGCCTTAACAAAGATACTCGTGCTTTTGAGATGGAGGAAGCTATGTGCAATCGTGAAAATAACAATGGCCTTAGTAGGTTTTGATTAAAATATTGCAGATTTCTGAAATGATGTCTTGGGGGATCTGGGACTGGGTGTCAACTAGGGCTGGGTTGGCTGAGGTCACTCTTTAGTGGGAAAGAAGCTCAAGGCCCAGGGATAATCTTGGGTAACTACCAATCACTAGTTGGCTACTACACCTCCCTTCCCTGCTTCCAACCAGGAACTGGGCTAGCCCTTGGGAAAACCAAAGGGGCCCGTGCTGGTGCCTCTGGCAAGGACAAAACAGAGTGGGGGGAGTCTCTGGTTTCTCTTGGACCACGGGACTTGTTGCACTTGTGTGTGACATGGATTCTGTGGTGGTCTAGAAACTGTTGCACTGGTCTAGGACAGTCCTGTGATCTCCTAGTAGGGTAAGAGGGTGTTAAGTTCCTCTTACACCTCCGTCCTTGCTAGGCTGGAAGAGCACAGGAGCTAAAACCAAGACCAGCAGTTTCTATGCTGGTGCATTCCTTACTGGCCATGTCCCCGGTCCTGCAGCTGGGCTCAGGGTGGTTCACCGTGTTGTGATACAGCCCAGGTCATGAAGGGGACGGGTAGCAGCTACCCAGAACTTGGCCCATAGGCTGAACTTGCCTAGATGCCCAAAGCGTGTCTCACAGGCAGGATGGGACTAGCCAAGCCCCTTCTTGTGGCCAGAACTGCTGGATTATTACTGTGGCATGAGTCCTCACTGCGGGTGATGCTCAAAGTACAGCTGTAAACTCTCTCTGGCCTTGAATCCCAAGGTAGCCACCTGCACACAGTGGCTCACAGCCCCCAGCCTCAGCCAGTGACAAGTGTCACGGGAACAGGGCAGGGGCACGGCCCCAGCCAGGGCGCTGTGGGACGCTTCCACTCTCACCAGTACGACCCAGCGGCATTCGGCAAAGCTTAACTAGATCAAAGATAACCACCCTTGGGCTCGCCTGCTTGAGGCTTGAATGACGTACTGGTACTGATTGCTGTTGTACAGGTGGAAACAAATAAAATACTGGAATATTGGTCTTAGCGCAAGCTGGTTTTTTTTTTTTCTTTTGGGGTGTGTGTGCAGAAAAATATACAGCGAGGGCTCTTGCTTTTAATACAGAGGTGCCCGTTGCTGTAAGGCTTTGCCCTGGGGGTACCCCGGGGGAACTGGGGGGGCTGCGGCGCTGCGGCGCGGCCGCCGGGAGGAGCTGTGGGGCCGCGGAGGCGCC